GAAAAAAAAAAAAAAAAGAGAAAAGAAAAAAAAGGAAAAAGAAAAACAAAAAGAACTCATCCGAAAAAGATAGGCAAGAGGCAGGAGCTGATGCTGAGGTGACTTAGAGGACCCGATGATACTAACGGAATATATGAACATTTTGAGCAAAGTTTACCATAAAAATCAAGATGAATAAATTAAATCAAGTTTACCTTTTTGACCATCTCGACTTCGACGGGTAGGTGAGGTTTTATAACGTTCACCGGGACAACCAGGTCTCGAAATATCAAATATTTCAATAGCGCATTCGTGACTTGCATATAAACTGTGGGTACCATTCTGTGTGAATCTCTCGAAGGGTGAACAAATTTTGATGACCATTACGTACCTAGTACCATCTTGGGAAAACAGCATAGAATGCGGAGCAACCATTCGCTCTCGATGATCCACGAGGGGATATGACGCCCGAAGCTATTTGGATGAATCAACTTCAAATCAGTTAGTACAGCAAAATTCGACTGCATTACACCTGTCCATCAGACCGTCGCCACTAGGCTAGGAGAAGCAATGAATATAAATCTACGAACTAACCCTCCCGTCTGTTGCATCTAGAAGATGTATCGGATGATCTTTGACAGCCGTAGCAAAACAATACCTGGCTGGATCATCCGAACGTGAATGTGGGAACCAGCATGTAGACAATACAGCATCAGCAGCTGTGATCTCCTTGCGTGGTTTCCATTCTTCATGAAGTCTGTCCTCGCTATCCTCGGAGCTCTCTGCCACTGGAGGAGGGCTGAATATGAATTTTTATGAATGGAAAAAAAAGTTAGTTTCATATTTGTAGCTACCTCGCTGATGAATATCTGTCATCATAACTGACCACAAAGAATCAAGCTTACCAAACGAATAGCCGAATGGTTCGATCTTCTGCTTCTGTCAGAATTGCAGAACCGTCTGATGACCTATCCCGAATTTCAAAGTCATTCAGTTATAAATATGACCAGAAGTGAGCTTGTACAACTGACCTAACTTCATGACTCTTAAATATCAGTACATCTTTTACTCACCACTTGGCGCATCGTAACAAGTTACGAGATAGAGATGATTTTAATGATTTCGATGTCGCTAGTCTGGTTGGTTTGGTCGAAGGAAAACGAATATGAGTACCATCAGATATCGGATTGATAGGTTCAGCCTGAGGCTCCATGCTCAAACTTCACATTTCGCTTTTGAAAAGGTTGCATCATGATATTGCTGAGGAATGCCCGAAGTAGTCGGTACCGTGACGGTACACTCCTTCAAGCACCGAGAAGTGAAGAGCTGAATGTATGCACTGGTCATGAAGTGACGTCAAATGTTTACTTTTCCTCACTTTCTATTAAACACCAAAACTTCATCAGTTTTAAAGAAATGTCCATTCGTCTCCTTTCAAAGCCTCTTAGGAACTTGAGCCGACCAAGCATCGTTTCGAACAGTGACTTACGACCATATTCAATCAACACTACAAATTTAGAAAGTAAATCAACTTCATTCGTCCCTTACGATTGGGAAGACCCTTTGCGACTTGAGAAGAGTTTATTGAACGAAGAAGAAATCGCAATCAAGCACGTCGTTTTTGGTTCTAGAAAACAAATTATCAATAATTGTTTCTAAAATTAGCTTCAAGTGCTCTGATCTGATACCATGTGAACTCGTTCATCCAGGGATGCTAGTCATGAATATTGTCAAACGAATTTGATGCCGAGGGTACTAGAGGGTCACAGGAATGAGAGTCAGTGTGCTTAGTTTCTTGGTACCTTCAAACTTAGCTTGATCTTCCCTAACCTGTATATCTTGATGTCATAGCCTTCGACTCAACAATGATGTCTGAAATGGGAAAACTTGGCTTTCTTGGACCTACCATATCAGGTTATGGATGTGCGGGTGTGAGATCGTTTTTACCGGCTTCTGATGCTCTCAGTAGACAGATCTCATAAGCCAGCCTGACACATCAACTCACGAATCGATTTCAGGTGTCTACCGTCGCATACGGTCTACTTGCTCGTGAAGTCGAACGTGTAGATTCAGGTTATAGATCTGCAATGAGCGTGCAGTCGTCTTTAGTTATGCATCCCATCAGTAAGTACCAAAATTTTATCAAACCCGCGCGGCCATTGACGTATGATTGAAATTCATGATCGACTACAGATGAGTTCGGGAGCGAAGAACAGAAACAACGTTATCTACCGGAGTTAGCTAGTGGTAACATGATTGGTTGCTTTGGGCTCACTGAACCTAGTCATGGATCAGATCCTGCTGGAATGTTGACCACAGCCATGGAAGCGACTGACGGTAGCGGGGGCTTTGGTATGTGCCATCAAATTCACCAAATTCCAGCTGCATCAATCACGACTCAATTTGCTCTACTTAGTCTTGAATGGAAGTAAAACCTGGATTACCAACTCGCCGATTGCCGATGTGTTCATTATTTGGGCCAAGTGTAAATGGGATGGCAAGATAAGGGGATTTATATTAGAGAAAGTGAGTGATGACCTCTCAACTTAGCCTATGCTACCCTCTTTTACATGTTCTGGACACGATCGTGTTAGGGTATGCCCGGACTATCGGCCCCTAAAATCCAACATAAGCTGGCACTACGGGCAAGCACCACAGGCTCCATCTTTATGGACTCGGTTCCTGTTCCTTCTGGAAATGTACTTCCAAAAGTAACTGGCTTGAAAGGCCCATTCTCTTGTCTCAACAGTGCAAGGCTTGGTATATCCTTCGGAGTGATTGGAGCCCTGGAAGATTGTGTCAAGAGAGCGAGAGAGTATGCTCTGGACAGAGTGCAATTTAATAGGCCTTTGGCTAGTTTTCAACTTGTTCAGAAAAAGCTCGTTGATGCTAACACCGAGGCAGTTCTTGGACTTTGCGCGTCCATTCAACTGGGTCGATTGAAGGACCAGGGAACATGGTGCCGTAAGTTTATAAAATTTTCATACTCTACTTGATTTGGCTTGACATGCTTTTTTGCGATATCGATAGCCGAAATGGTCAGCTTATTGAAACGGAATAACTGCGGTAAGGCTTTGGAACACGCTCGAATTTTGTTGGATGTCCTGGGTGGAAATGCAGTCTCAGATGAGTATCATATTGGTCGTATCGCTGCTAACCTTCAAGTTGCAAACACATATGAAGGCACTCATGTTGGTCTCATAGCTCGCTCGTCTTACTTGAACCACGCAAGCTGACATCATCCATCTCTTGATTTTTTTGAACTTAGGATATCCATGCATTGATTCTTGGTAAGGCAATGACTGGCCTCCAAGCTTTTTCGTGATTTTGTTTGTCATTTTTTCATTTCATCCTTTATATTGATATGCGAGTGACATGTATAATAACGTTCAGGCAGGTTTTAGCTGTATTTTTTCTTGTGATTCCATTTACAATCTCTTCTCTCTCCATGAAGCAGTACCCGATTCTTAGTTAATGATCTTGCTTAATTGGAAACATGTGCGGTACGGTTGCTGTGTCCAGAATCCTACTATAGCAAACGCAATCAATTCCAGTTCTGACTATCAGCCTTGATGCCCCCTGCTACAAGCATGTGAGGTGACGACGATCCCAACTCAATCACATTTCCGCAGCTCGTTTACATACTCATTAATTACCATTCCACTACTTCTCAACAGACCTGTTAGAAATTCCTCGAAAATATTTACAACCTGGCTTGGAAGCTGCAAAAAGAACATGCTGGCGGTGGGATTCGAACCCACGCAGTTTTCACTACCAGGAATCCAGGCGCTCGACATGCTGAAGACTTAAATCTGGCTCCTTAGACCGCTCGGACACGCCAGCTTGACGGGTCGGACCAAAATATGGTTAGGATCAGACGCGTTTAAGATCTCTGTTTGGCTCTTGGCAGGACACCTTGGTATTTGCTTGCAGTAGCCAATTGATAGTATCACAAAGAAATTTTGAAGATGTTTCTTTTTGCCCATATCATGACAAGAAATGATATAGCAATTGATGTTTACCTGGGATTCATAAGCATTCAGGGGCTTTCCATATATACAATATTTGCTCGGATTATGACTTGCTCATTGGAGCACCTGTTACTTTTGGAGTGAAAAAAATCAACCTGATCTGATATGTGATTGTTTAAAGTATTCTGGGAGTTGGACTTATAAGGCTCTTGAAGTGTGCTAAGAGAAGCCTCTTGTTTTACAAACCAAGAAAGCTCCAAGATGTGCTATACCTAGACCTTTGCCCCGGCCCCGGAATTTCGGGGACTCCCCGCGTCCCGACCCCGCGAGGTCGGGATGCGGGAGGCAATTTGGAACAGCAAATCCCGCGAAATCCCCGCACTCCCCGCAGATTGGAAGACCCTCTGGGGGGGCAGATGGAGGTGGTTTTGCGCGCATTGACAAAGGGGTACATTTTTGTACTTTCAATTTCATAATGGATCGCACTATTTGGCGCCCGGTTTCGAAAACACGACGCCCGGTTTTGAAAACACGATGCCCGGTTTTCAAATTTTACATCTTTCCGTAGCCCGGTTTCAAACCGGTTTTTAATCGTACACACATGCCGAGTTAGACCATGGTTTATGACAAGCATATTGTCAATAGTTTTTGAAATCCAATGTCTTAATTTGCTTTTTCAAAGACCCCGATTGCAATGTAATCCTGGAGTGAGGTGGTTAACAGTCATAAAAGTTCAAATAAAATGAAAGACTGTTGTACTCAGAAACAACCAAGGCCAAAAAGATACAAGTTCAAACAATCATTCTAATCAAGATCAACCTGAATAAAAAATAAGATACATTCACAACAATCATTTGACTCGGGATCGATTAAAATATGATGAGGTTGAATATGATAATGATAAGACGGTCATAAGATACAACTTCAACTGTAATCAGTCAAAATAGGAGTTCGAAAAAGATAAATGTTTGGTTCAATAGATTTTCATCCTCAGAATTGGAGATGAGAAGGTTGCATCACCGGTTGTTCAAGATCTGTAGGAGTGACTTTCTTGAAAGATTCATTAGTCTGACAAAACGTGGTCCAATTTGATATTGGTACGTCGTCTTCAAGTTAGGAGGAATGCTGAGTGAGAGAGGTGAGATGTGGCAAACCGGTTTCAGGCTAATGCCCGGTTTCTCATAATTGCTGCGGCTGCGGCCAAATTTGGCTTGAACGCGCGGGAAAGTACCGAGAAAAGCGGGCGTTGGGGATTTTCGAAAGCGGGCGCCAAATAGTGCGCTCCTTTGTAATTAGACTAATTCACTTATAAATCCTAATCATTGAGGCCATCAAAAAAAACTGGCCCAAAGGCACGATACCATTCTTTAACACAAAGAAGACGTTCAACGGTAGCAGGATGGAGTGCTGATCTCTGATGTTGGAATACAGCACGGCCTTCAGAGAAGACATGCTCAGAGGGGCAGCTGGTTGCCGGAATAGCAAGGTAAGCCTGTGCCATTGCAGACAGGGCAGGGTAAGCCTTCACCCTTCCCTTCCAATAGGCAAGGATACAATTGTCCTTGTGCTCGAGTGGCTCCAAGAGGTAACGGGTAATCTCGTTTGTGACCGAATTATTGTCACCGAGATCTGGCACCCCAAAAAGTTCGTCGTCGAGTGATGTAGCAGGTGTGAGAGTTGGAGCTTGGGTATTGATTATGTCAGGAGTTGCAAAGCTTGCATAAGCCTGTGCCACCTCAATAAAGTCCGCTTTCAATGAGTCCGACGAGTGACCACATATAGAGAGTGAGTCGAAGTGAGATTTGTAAAACTCCAATTTTACACGAGGATCGAGAATTGTCGAACAAACAGGGCCTGGCTTCTTTAAAGCAGCAGTGAGGTACGTTTGCAGTTTATTGATTATGTCATCCGCTGCTGGGATAAGCTGAGCCAAGTCATATGTGTACCAAACCTAGAGATGTAGAAGGTCAGCAGCCGCGAAGTTAAGGAGGTGAAGCAGATGAACCCACCGCTTGTAACTTATTAATCACAACCACGTAGATCGGAATAACGGTATTAATTGTAGGATACCTGGTCGCACAGAGACACTTGGTAGCATCACTAAGAGGTTTGATAAACTTCATCATTACTTTGAGTTGCTTCCACTCAATCGACAATAACTTGAACTTTGCGCCCTCTGGAGTGGCCGAGAATTGTTTGCAGGCGGTCCTACATGATACAAATGAAATTATATAAGTGAAAAGCAAAGGATCGTGAAAAAAAGAAAACTACATACACAGTGTCATTTTACTACTCACTGGCAGGCCAGTGAGTACGTCCAGCTCAATCCAATCTCAATCCAATCTCAAATCCATGTCAGTTCAATATCAATCCAATCTCAATGTTTGGCCTAGAGTAACAGACAAACAACCTTCCAGAATGAACTGGAATAAAGTTTGGTTGCATGTCCACACATGAAGGTGTCAGAATGTCTGGAAGGTTTGTGTGATTATGCAGCCCATGAATATCCCCCACTCAAACATCATTGGAGGTCAAACTGATATTGAACTGACATTGAATTGAGATTGTATTGAGGTGAATGGAACTCACTGGCCTGCCAGTGACTAGTAAAATGACATTGTGATACCTGAGTAACAAGGCGCGCTCAAACATAGCGTAGGTGGAATTCCATTGAGTTCAAACATCATCGATTAGACACTGAGCCGCGGTTGGAGATGGTAAGTCTGGTGGAAAGAGACGGATGAAGTTCTGAAATGCCTCGAGGCGCTGAGGACTGCCACGAGTCTAGGTAGCGAGACCGTGGACTCGTTTGTAGACAGACGCCATGTCCACATGGGCTCCATCTGGAGTGTCCACCAGGGCGTTGATTGCCATTGGATTGGATGGAGTATCCTCGTTTGAGTCTTCAACAAGCGGACCAAGGACCTTGAGGCCAGCTTGAGCGGCTAGGTTGAGTACATGGGCTACACATCCTAAGAGGTGCTTGTCAGCCTGTAAAGTGCCACCCAAAGCATTTTCGATCTCCTTGGCCATCGTGTTGTTCAAAGAGGCATTGTCGGTAGTGATCGAAGCCAGGTTTTTGAGACCACCATAACGCAAGATTGATTCCATAAACAAATCAGCAAAGGTCTTTCCAGTGTGAGCTCCTAAGTTCATCAAGTGTCAGTATAACGATCAAACAAAAATATCTAAAGCGGAATAGACAACTTACCCTCGACGTGCGGGATACTAAGAAGGACATCGACCTTCTCAAACTTTGACTTGATCATATGAGCGGTAATAGCCATGAATGTGGTGTTGTTGGGGCCGGTCCACGCGTCAAGGGTGTAAGATACAGCAGGAGCTTCAGCAAGGAGTTGTCCTTTGAGGTGATCTTGATGGAATAGGAAAACTTCTCGTAGGTGTCGAGACAGAGCGTCCTCTTTGACTAGCATAGACGTGGTTTCTTGGTTACGGAGACGAAGTAAGGTGGTGAAGGATTTCTTCTCCATCATCGCAAAAGACAGGTCACAATCACTGACGAGATAACATATCGCTGTCTTTAACAAAGCAGTAGACAAGCAAGGCTTCGAGAGAGAAGGAAGAAAATAAGATGGATGAGAAGCAAGTAGAAACTGGTCCATAATGATGAAAAGAATCACGAAGGAAAAGGAAAGAAGAGTGAACCCTTTACATACCATTTTTTTGGTCTTCCGACTCTCCACGCCTTGGTTGATCATCCCCATACGTTTGGTTCTCTTGTTAGGATCTTCAAGCTTGTGTTTGGAGGTCAGATGATCCGACATGCCCTTTGTGCTCGATCGTGCATCACGAGCCAAGAGGGCTCCGCATTCTATTCCTCGTTTCAACGTAACAGAGCACTGTACCTTTTTCCCACAGGCGCTAGGGTTGAAGTGAGTCCATACCCAGCTTTGTTTCCCGTTGGAATTGGTCGTGCTGACATTGGAATCTTGATTCTCGCCGGCTTTCCCCGCTGCTGAATCACCAGTGAGATCGATTTGATCCATCCGGAAGGAAATCAAAAGGAAAAAGGTGAGGTTAACTTTGATAAGGAAATGGGGAGCGGGAAAGTGTAATTAAGAGGTAGGCCGATTTAAAAACGGTGAAAATGAAACTCACCTCTATAAAAAAAAAAATTCGAGCCCCTTGAAAGTCGCACCAGTCGCGATCAAACCAAATACTTACCTCCCTTGCGTCGTGAGGCAACCTTCATACCCCTTGGCGTGTCTTCTTTCGGATTTTGGTGGGTTTTTTGGTTTTTTTGGTTTTTTTTTGTTCTACTTTTTTTTTTTTGGAGGTACCCCCCGCATCCCCCGGCCTCCCGCCGGGAAATGCGGGGGCGGGCTTTGGGAAA